TCTGGACCTATGCAAAACATGACATTTTTTTAAAATTTGATTTATTCTTTAAGAATTATAAGGTAAAACAAAAGGACCAAGTCATTATTTTTTTTTTATTTGCAGCTACAAATTGTGATACTGACATTCCCATATATAACATTATTCTTTTCTTTGTAGCAAATTGTTACAATAAATTTTATAAAACAATAAGTGATAATCAATAAGAATGCATGTGCAATGCAAACTTCATAGCTAACATACAAAATGCACTGTATAGCTATAAATAAAAATCAGTAGACCATTTATAATTGTGAGTTTTTCCTACGCATTTATAGATATATGATAGTTTAATTGTTTAAACTAGAACAGTATTGCATTTTATTAAATGTAATTGAATGCAATTATGGTTGAGTGTGGTATAGTTCTGGAGGCTTAAAAATACTGCACTCAAAATACTCCCTCTACTGGACTCATCAGGGACAACAGGGGTGTAAAACTGCTTAGGCAATAGATCTGTCTGGATCCAAGTCTGCAGCCAGTCTCCCTCTCCTCTTGGAAATAGTTGGCAACACTGATGGTTGTGTACACTGGAAAAAAAAAATGCTGCAAACAATTTAAGTGTTGAATTTAAACAAATTAAATTTAGTAATGTTCAACTTAATTTGTTTAAATTCAGCCCAAATAAATTGTTTACAACCACTTAAATTAGTAAATTCAAGGAATCATATTTGAATATTTTTTTTTTAATGTACGGAACATGGTTAGTCTACGTTAGTCATATATAGTGTACTATATAATTGAATGAATGCACGAATATAAAATCAACTTTACCTCAATTCAACATCATCACTCATACTGCACAACAAACTGAGGCCTGCTCTCATAAAAAACACCCCAAATATTAACAAACAAACCCTGAATCTAGTTTATTCAAAAAGCGTCACATCCGCATATACAAATAAATAAATGTTTAATACAACATTCACTCGACAATGACTGCCTGCATGAGAACTATAAATTGACTGAGTGCATCACAAAAGCTCTTTAAAACGAAGCAAACTGTATAACAGTTTCTCGTTTAAACTAAACATTTAGCAGAATACAATAGGGTATATGCCGAGCTAGTGTTTTTCCCATACTGATAAACTTCTGGTGACCTGTTATTGGCAACTTTTTCCCCGTTTTATACGGTTTCTATTACAGTATCGATGTTGTAGTCACTAAGGTACATTCAGTTAAATAAACTTTGCCATTTATTTAGTTGCTTAAGCGTAAAACGACAAAAACCCGTTTACTCCCACACGCCCGTCAGAATCGGCAGGCTAGCGCAGAAGCTCCATTGAATATACTGGGGTACAATAAATGTTCATATTATAAAGATTAATGAAAACTCAAATGCTAATAGGACTTTTAATTTGCCAGTAACCTGGGTTAAGCGCTTCTGGTGAATCGAATGCCAATGCAAAATCGGTGCGTTTAAGGCCTGTTGTCTTTAAAAATCAGCAATCTCCACTGGCTGAGTGATATCCGATTTAAAATGGATCTCAGATTGTACAAGCACTGCATTAAATTACATATTCCCCTGCCATGTCTTTATAATATGAGCATTTATTTTACCCCATTATATTCAATGGAGCTTGTGCGCTAAAGTTAGCCTGCCGATTCTGACGGGCGCGTGCGAGTAAACGGCTTTTTGTCTCGTTTTACGCTTAAGCAAATGAATAAATGCCAAAGTTTATTAAACTGAATGTATTTTAATTACATTACAATATAGATACTGTAAAAGGAACCGTATAAAACGAAAAAAAAAGTTCACAATAACAGATCCAGAAGTTTATCAGTAAGGGAAAAACACTAGCTCGGCATATACCCTATTAAAATGTAAAGCTATTATTTTCACTAACAAAACTTTACTCAATTCAAACCGGGCTGCAGGTTAGCAACACCGCTAACGTTACGTTGATCAATAACACAAACAAACATACGTTACCTTTTGTAAGCTGCTTTACAGATGGGTTTCAAACTCCTGGTGGGATTTTGTGGATGATGTGTCGAACTCGGGCCAAAAAGCTTTTTGGCGGTAAACGGCGTGGATCCCGTCGAGTGTTTGGGCGTTTGTTTGTTTGACGTTAATGTCGGACATTAGCAAACTATCGAACTGGCAAACAGGTGAACCAGCTTACGTGCGTATTTATACTAGAATCACAACCTGCCCCGCCCCTGCACGCCAACGTCACTACACCCGCCCTCCAAATTTGCTATCACGTGGTTTGGGTGAGGCGCGAAACTCAGATGGAGGGCAGGAACTTCCAGGAAGTGAAAAACTGAATGGGAGATACAGAGGAAAGGTCGCATTTTTGCGATGTATATCATATTTCGAAGGAGATATAAAAAGAAAATAAGCACATATGATGGGCATAATCCTTATATCATGATGAGGGCCGAGTTTCCCACTGAAGTAAAATATATTTGCCTGCCATTGCCGCAGCCGCAGTAGCTACGATAAGCTTCTTTTATTATTTAACTTTCAAATAACAAACAGGCATTTTCAACTTCCATTGTTAAACATATATAACAATATATCCAAGCAGCATATAATAAACAAAATAGTACACAATAATAATAATAACATAAACAAACCTTAAATAATACAAAAGAAAATGCATTGCAGTCAGGGGGTTAGTTCATATAAGCTGACTAAAGCTTTGAAAGTTTTGAGGCATCTTTCGTTTTTACCTGTTTTATGGATTTATATAAAATGTTGAAATCATTTTTAAATTCCTTGAAACAAGGATAAACTTTTACAAAAGTAAATTAGTGAAATTTTTTTTTTGCTACAATCCACATATTATTACACAGAAATTCAATTCTTTGTTTTTTATAAAAATGACAAACTTCACAATGTGATAGTCAAACGCTGGTATTAAATTGTTTGTCATAAACCACTTTTACAATCTGTCCCAAAAGGATTTGACAATAGAACAGCTAAAAAAGATCTTCCTGAGATCTTTCAAGCAGAAAATAACAATTATTCATTTCTGGATATTAAATGTAACAACGAGGTCCTGAGATCACTTTACTGAAAAAAGAATATTTTCCTCTTCCTGTTAAAAAAAGTTTTATCTAAAGCGGACACTATTGAAGTAAAAAAAGATACCTGTCATTTCCCTTGTTACCTAAAATGAAAGAAGTACATTTCAAAACAATTGAAAACATTTATCCATGTAATGAATTTCTCAGAATAAGATTTAATTTAGAAAGTAATGCTTGTATTTTCTGCTACTATAAGCTATTACATGAAAAAAAGAATTTTTATTGTGTTTTAACAATACTATCGTATTAACCATAACAATGGATGACATCAAGTACAGTAATAAACAAAGAAAATTGCATTTGCACAACAGTTAATGCATTTCTCAAAACAATTAGTCATCTGTGCACATCATAGTAGCAGTTTCTCATTCCTTTCAACTAATTGCACGTGCTTTTGTACATGCATTAATTGCTTTCATGCACTCTCTGCTGATGTATAACATTATTATTCGCTTATGTCACGTCAGTCAAAATTAGCTATACTTGTGAATGCTGAATAGTCCTTCCGTATAAAACTAACAGTCCTCATTTCATTACTTTACATACAAAAATGTTGAGGTGTCAAAATCTGTCAAGCTAGTTTTATAAAACATCTTTTTTTTCCTGAAAATGTCTTCTAAATTGAACATTTTCATGAATGATTTACAGACCTGTGTTTGTTGTAGGTTCAGATCCAATATGTACTGTGATATTGTCTTCAGTTGTAGGTGTGTGTGTGTGTGTGTGTGTGTGTGTGTCTACCTAAAGGGAGTTTATGTTTATTGTAAATAAGAGTGTGTTTATTCTTTTGCACAATGCTGTGAATAAATTAGAATTGTAAAGGGCATAAAATGTGAATCATACATAATCAGTGTCTTGTACTCAAATACCTCACTAAATGCAGTGATGTCTAACTTTACTTTAGTTTTCAAATGGCTGAGCAAATAGAATATAGTGCTGCTGTCTTGAGCATTTTCAGGAAGTGTCACCAAAATTTGACTGTTTTGCATTGGAAAACATTAACAGAGTAAACTGTCATAATGAAAACATGACTAAGCCATTTGACTATCTTGTTCATAAACAATGGTGTCAGGACTTTTCCTCTTGATGACACTGACACTTTGATTGACACTTTGAACGCTTTAGCAGGTTATCATCTAGGTTTGCCAGTTTGTACTAATTGTTTTGAGAAATTCATTAACTGTTGTGCAAATGTATGTTTCTGCTTTCTGAGTTTGAAAATGATTGTTTAAGTTATTAATATGAGGAATAATTTGCTTGTCAAGGAAAGTATATGTTTGCAACCTTTTCATTATTAAGTTTATTTTATCTAAACAATAATGAACATGACTTCATAACAAAATTTTATTCATCCTTTTTTGTTTGTTTGTTTGTGTTTTGAAGCTTTCGTCACACATAAAGCTTTCTAAAAACAGGTTCAATAAGAAAAAAATGTAAAACTCAAATTCGCATTCATGCATAATTTTCAATAAGTTCTTTAGGTGCGTGTACATGTTATGTTTGAGTGAAAATCTACAAATTATTTGCATAATTTAGGAATTAAAAAATGAAAACAAACAGACATGACTGACGACAGACAGACAGACAGACAGACAGACAGATAGATAGATAGATAGATAGATAGACTTTTTTCATTGTCAGTCATCTCATGTTTCAAGCCTCCTCAGTTACTTCAAATCTCGCATTTCACAGTTAAGAGATTAAATCTTTCTCGTCGCTTCTCCTTTTAGATTGTTTGAGTGTGAGAGAGTACTACACCATCGACGTCTTGTTAGAACCTGTCAGCGTTTTTAATTACCGCCATTAAGCTGATAAAGACAGAAAACAGCTGACTGCGGTCATGTGACAGCAATAGACCATCATATGACTTTAATTCGGTCCCTCCTTCTGCTGTTTTATAGGAACTTGGCGCGTGTGTGTCCTCCGTGGCGGAAACATTTCTAGATTGTCTTGTTTTCTTTCGGGACTTTCTATTGTGCAGATGAATGTTCGTCAGCATCTGTAGCGGTTGACTGTCTGGCTTCTTTAGACATGTGGTTTTTTCTAGCTGGATTCGTGCTTCTGTGTGCTGCAGGTAAAGTGTTGTTTATGTACTGGAAGAAAACAAACGCATATGACCGTCAGTCTCGTGATTTGTGTGCTGCATTTCCTGTGATATTTTTAACGTTAAATGTGTTGAGGAAGCATATAAATGCATATTTAGACTTATTATTATCACATATTCGTAGTTGTTTAGTAAATATAGTACTCCAAGGCGTGAATATTAAACCACACGGAACTTAACTTTAAACTCTGAAATCTGGACTGACACCATTTCAATTCAGTATAATCTACTATGTGAAGCTGCTTTGACACAATCTAAATTGTAAAAGCGCTATAGAAATAAAGATGAATCGAATTGAATTTGTGCATAAATAAAAGCTTTTCCTTCTCAGATGCCACACCGGTTGCAGAGAGGACAGTTCCTGAGTTTGGAAAGACTTATCATGTCAAAGGTACATTTCTGGCTAACAGAACATCCCGTTAGATATTGTGGTAAAGTTGGTTTTATTTGCATAGTACTTTAAATATTCAGCCTGAAATCACAAAGTGTGACTTAAAAACAACATTAACATTATTTGACTGAACATTGCTGTGCTTTAATCAGGGCCAGCCATGTACATTTGGAGACCCTAAGCAGAATAATTTTGGGGCCCTACCTTGCTGTAAACAGTGTAGTATTGCCATTGCAAACCGGCCCACAATGATTATATTGCCTTACAATCAATGAAACCGAAAAGTAAAGCTTGATTTCTTCTACTTAATAACTGTCCAGATGATATGGAAATTTTGAAACAGCATTGTTTGTCAACTAACAACTTCAAAAATGAACAATTAAGCAATCTTAAATAAAGGGCCCAGTGATTCTTACTTTGCATTTTTCTAGAGTGTTTAAAACATTCATTCATTCATTTTCTTGTCGGCTTAGTCCTTTTATTAATCCAGGGTCGCCACAGCGAAATGAACCGTCAACTTATCCAGCAAGTTTTTACACAGCTGATGCCCTTCCAGCCGCAACCCATCTCTGGGAAACATCCACACACACATTCACCCACACACTCATACACTACGGACAATTTAGCCTACCCAATTCACCTGCAGCATGTCTTTGGACTGTGGGGGAACCCGGAGGAAACCCACACAAAGGCAGGGAGAACATGCAAACTCCACACAGAAACGGCAACTGAGCCAAGGTTCGACCCAGCGACCTTCTTGCTGTGAGGCGACAGCACTTCCTACTGCGCCACTGCCTCGTGTGTTTAAAACATATTCAATTAATTTGGCAAACAGATTGAAGAATCTATAGAACATTTTTGGTTTAGTTTCTTTATAAATTCCAAAAGCAATGAACCGACAGTGGACAATAATTAACCAGAAGTGAAAATGCATTACTTGGTAATAAAATATACTCCTAAAAACAACAATAAAACAATTAACATTATTGCAAACATTGATTCATAAATAATTAAATGTATAAGCAAATAATATAAATATGAAAAATATTAATAAAACGGGAAGCAACAAATACTGTTAAAGTTCACTTATAGGGAGGGGCTGGCTATGCCTTTTGATATTCATTGGCTGCTAATATGATTTCACTATTTAGTATTAGCAAAAATACTTTTCTAAAAGTATATTATTAAGGACTGAATTTCTGAATGTGTGAATATAAAACCAACTTTACCTCAATCCAGTGGATTACACTTACTTTAAAGTTACATCTTCCTCTTATGTACTAGGTTTGCTTTCTTTGCCTTATGCTGAGATAAAGGAGCCATTTGAAGCTTGGTACGACCTGACGGGGAAAAGAAGTCGAATCGACTATTACCATGGTCAGTTATTATGGTAGTATTAGTAGCGATGGATTGCTGTTCAGTGTTTAGACTCTCAGCAGTGAATATTACACTCTTAACTTAAGGGTATTACCAACTTAAACTCTGAAAACTGACGCTGTTCCAATTAACTATAATCTTCTATGTGAAGCTGCTTTGGCACAACCTACAGTCTATAAGTGCTATTGGAGGGGTGTCCAACTCTGTCCTGGAGGGCCGGTGTCCTGCATTGTTTAGCTCCAACTTCCTTTAACACACCTCTCTGCAAGTTTCCAGTATACCTAGATGGAGCTTGATTAGCTGGTCCAGTTGTGTTGAATTGGGGTTGAAACTAAAATATGTAGGACACCAGCCCTCCAGGACCAAGTTTGGACATCCCTGCGCTATAGAAATAAAGATGAATTAAATTGAATATTAAACGAAAACAGTGGAAATAAAACATAGTAAACTTTAGTAAATAGTATTGTGTTTTGAACCATACTGCAGTTAAGTATTTAAATTATTCTGTTGTGGTAATTTTATAGTTGCTGTGGTTAGGCATGGGATGATAACCGGTTTTAAGGTTTACAGTGGTTTGGAAAACTACAAAAATGTTATACCGTTCCTAAGGTATATATAAATGATTTTTTATTTTTATGATATTTTTTAATTATTTAGACTTACATGTTTACTGTTCCAAAATATTATAAATGTAAATTGTTAGATGAAATGCTGTATATTGTATTCAGTGGGGAAAATGTATTGTTTTTTACCAAGACATTTTTAAAAAATAACTTATTTTAGAGCAGTAATCACAATACAGTGAAACAGGGATAATTTATCCAAGGTTATCATACCTTTACAAACTTATACCGGCCCATGCTTAACTGTGGTACTAAAACCGCTACAATAAAAATAAACGTTTCTTTTTTGTGCACTTCTTCCCCTATGTTTTGTGCATGTATTTGCAGGTTTTCTACAACTAAAAGGTTTATTATAAAAATTAATATACAGTACAGTTTACTGTAGTAACTAAAATGCTACAGTTTATCCATTTACTGTAAGAGATAATTTATAAAAAGTACAGATTTACTCCCCCTTGAGTGGTTGTATGCCATATATGGTAGTAGGAAACAAATATTATGTAATTTAATGGTCAACGGCTTTCTTCTTTTTATATATATATATATATATATATATATATATATATATATATATATATATATATATATATATATATATATAAATATAAGAAGACAGCCGTTGACCATTAAATTACATAATATTTGTTTATATTTATTATATATTTATATATATATATATTTTTTTATATATATATATATTTTTATATATATATATATATATATATATATATATATATATATATATATATATATATATATATATAATTTTTTTTTTTTTTATATAAAATATATAATTTTATTATTTTATTTATTTTTTTGGTTGCAAAAGCTGAAAACCAGTAACCATTGACCTCCATAGTAAAAAACACAAATATTATGTAATTCAGTGGTCATCGGCAATATCTTCCTTTGTGTTTAACAAAAGAAACGTAAACCGTTTTGGAACAAGGTGACAGAGTATTATCTTTTTAAGTGAACTATTCCTACAACATTATTCTGTAACACGTCATGGCTTTGCCAAGTACGATGCTATCCTGGATTAACATTTCTGTTGGTCCTGGAACATCATTCGTTCAAGGAATATAATCCAAATCTATTCCCTACCCCTAAAACCACTCATAACTGTAAATTATTTCCACAATCAGAGGGGAATGATAGTTGGATGACAATTATGTGGAAGTGCATAAAACTAAAGTGCCTAACTGTAAGCCTGAACTTAACAAACTGTAAACATATCCTTTAATTCTGATTGGCTGAATGGAATGTTGTTCCAGCATCAACATGGATATTAAACCAGGAACATATCCTACTTGGTGAAATCAGATTGGCGTTATGCTATAGTATTAATTAAATTAAGTGTCGTAAATTATATAATAATACAGTACATAATATATAAATACAGTATAATATAGTTTACTCTAGTAGTATGGTTCAAAAACCATATAAATACTATGGTATTTTTTCATGTGGGTATATAAATATGCAGTTTCTCCTAATTGATCTACACAGGTCAAGTTTGCACTTTCTTCATTGGAAATGACTTGGACTATGGTGCCGTTTACAAGATCACACCAGTCACCACTGAGACCGAATTCAATACTATGAAGTGTTTCCAGCTTAACGGCACCAAGGATGAACCAATAATTCCTCAGATAGCACTGCCTGATGTGCAAGGCTTTGAAGTATGTCTAATGGATAAAATAAAATTTCAGTGTCATCATTTATTCAAATATGAGCGACTCTCTACTGTGGATCAGATCAATAACGTCATAAATGTTTATCAAATTGTTTGTCTTGCAGTTTGAGAAGATTGAATACTACGCAGGCGTTCTGTGCGAGGTCTGGAAAAATGTCACAACGGTTGGCCATAAGAAAAACACATACCGTCTGTGGGTCACCCGTCCAGAGGGAATAGATTCTTCAGCCATGCCGCACCACTATGAGATGATGGGCTTCAATACTCTTTTGGGCTCCCACTATGATAAATATATTGTCGATTACAGCGACTTCAGCTCTCAGGTTGATCCAAACATTTTTAAACTACCTGGAGGTAAGTTCATAAATCACATTTGGTGGACAGGGCATTTTTCTGCTGCTTAAATTAAATTAGTAATTAATTGTTTAACTTTTTTTATTTTTAGGAATGTCCTGTGGTGGCTTTCCTGGTCCTGGTGTAGAGCATCATTTACTAGCCAATCCCATTCAAGATTTTGTAGAAACCTCCCCAGTTAGCCACGCCCACCGAATGTTTGGCCACTATAAGGAGAAGTTTAATCGTCAGTATGACAACGAGATGGAGCACGAGGAACGTGAGCACAACTTTGTGCATAATATTCGGTGAGGGAAAAAAACAAACAGATGTGTTTGTGTAATTCAACTTGACGAAATACCCTAAATATATTATTGCAAATACATTATAATTGTTTTTGTCAAGTTTTATTTGGTCGTTGAATAGACTTAAAATAAGCACAAGTTCCAGGAAAGATTTTCTGAAATGCACATTAAAATGCAATTTACACAAACAAAAACAAACATGCAAAAGAAAAGAACACCTGGGGTCCGTTCTTCGTACCTCGCTTAAATAATCTAATATTATTTGGCAGATCCTGGATCTTTTAATCTTGATAACTGATCTCTCGCTAATTTGGTTCTTCAAACAAGTTCGCGAATCAGATTAGAATGTCTGGATGAACTGATCTGAGATCGCTGCGTGTGTTGTGAAGGACAGATCTATCAATCCTCGAAATCATGATCAGCAATGCAACGATTGGCTGACGGCACAGCAGCGTAATGACATCATCTGATTAATATTCAATTATCCATGTGAGCAAAATTACATCAAATTAGCAGAAAACGGTTTGTTAAATACGACACGCAATAACTTTCCACATATTTTGTGAGCTGCAGGCTGTATTTCAATGCAAATCAATGTATTTAGTTCTACATTTAGAAAAGATTTTCTTTATTATAGTAGCCGTTTTTTAACCGGTGTAAAGAATAACTGGTTGTTTACAAAAGCATTTTCATATTGGTAAAGGCGTCTGCAAGTTTTGTGAAGCATCAAATCACTGGCATATTAACTATCAAAACATGTTTAAGACTGCTGAAATGTATTATTGCTTTAAAAAAAAAAAAGTCACATATTGTGTATTTCTATTATACACAATTTGTACTAAAGCGATCTAAAAAGTTCATATCAATAAGTTTTCTCTTTGCACCACCAGGTGGCAATCTTTGTACTTTCATTTGGAGGGTGCAGATTGCATACGTTTTATTAATATGTATAACTTTATTTTATTAATGACTATAACTTTATATATATATATATATAGTTAAACAATGTGTACCATTTTCCCAAGTGTATATAACTACTACTGTAAGAAAATATCCGAATTCGGAACATACTTTCTGTATTATCTTTGCTTGAACTGAGCCGATCTAATCCTGTTTATATGAATTGAACCTGCTCCCAATCAGGTTTGACCTAGCAGAACTGTTGCTATGACAACAACTCTCGGATCAGCTTTGAAGAACGAAACGATCCTGGATCGCGTCAAATCGTAATCGTCAAACAGTAATCCACGTACGAAGAACGGACCCCTAGCCTTTAAGTATACAGTGATCATCAAAACAACTTTTATTTTAATTGTTTTATATATATTTTGGGCACATGCATCCTCTGAAGCCATGATTATCATATAATGATTTTTTATTATATTATATTAAATTTTTTATTATGATTTAAATATTTTTCCTTTTTAAAAATTATTTATATGGATGATTTAAATTAAATTGACTTTAGTTTAATAATTTACATTTTTATTTTAATTGAAGTTTATTTATTTAAATGCAAACGATTCAAAATTGTGGTGTTGTTGTTGTTGTTGTTGTTATTATTATTATATATTTTTTGATGTTTTCCCTAAAGTATTTTTATTGAACATGTTAGATATGAAACATACAGTACAAATAGCTTTTCACAACAAAAAAACAAACCCCTCGCACACATTTAGGTTCTATAAAATATATAAATAATATTAAGATAAAATACAAATAAACAATAATATTAAGTAAAACATCTTTTACTCTCATAAATAAAAGGAAAGGAAATAAAAGGGGGGAAAATTAAGGGGAAAAATATAAACATGGAACGGTTCTACTCTTCTAAAATGACTGAGGGGTCCATCTTTGTGATCTAAAACGGGTTTATTTTTTGTTGCTTAATATTTCTTGGAAAGACAAGTTTAACTCTTCCTGTGGTGTTGCGTATGAGTGGCATCTAGCCTTTTAAATCAATTTTATTCAATTGTGTGTGGTTGTTGTTTTTATTTAATAAATATAAATGTGAGTGTCTATAATAGAACTATATAAAATAAAAATACACTTTGTTTCCAGTACATGTCAAATACCCTTAAACGAAATGAGAACTTGAAGCCATATTAAACTACTCTATTAGCAAACAAGAAGTAGTGAGGAGGAGTTTATGAATTTAACTTTATTTTTTCCCTCAGATATGTGCACTCTATGAACAGAGCTGGCCTTTCATTCTCTCTCTCAGTCAACCACCTGGCCGATCGCTCTCAGAAAGAGCTGTCAATGATGAGAGGATGTCAAAGGACTCACAAGGTTCATAGAAAAGCCCAGCCTTTCCCCTCGGAAATCCGGTCTATAGCCACTCCAAACTCTGTAGACTGGAGACTCTACGGTGTGTAATGTTTAAAGTTGTGTGTCCTCTTTCGATGCAATGTTGTTAGGAGTGATTGAGTTTAGATGTTGGGTATTTTTAGGTGCTGTGACGCCAGTGAAAGACCAGGCTGTGTGTGGATCCTGCTGGAGCTTTGCCACCACTGGAACACTAGAGGGAGCACTTTTCCTGAAGGTGAAACTACAAGATTCGGATTCTGTCACAGTACTATGTACCGAGTTCAGCGAAATTGGAAGAAAAATATATAATAATAACATAACAAAATTTGAGTATTGATCCAATAATACACAGTGATTGAATGTGAAGATTGTGTTAAATACAGTATTGCACAAAAGATAAGAATTAGAGTTAGGGCTGCACAATATGGGAAAAATATACCATTGATTTTTTTTTTTTTTTTTTTTTTTTTTAAGACAATATCACTTAAATTATTTGAATAACTATTTGAAAATATTTTTTAGATATACGGGAAGTGTAAATAATATGATAAAAAAAACCTTCAAGCATAGATAAATTCAATAAAGAAAAATGTACAAATAAAATAATAATAATTTAATAAAGCATTTTGTTTTCCGAGGAGTCAAACTGTATGTAAAATAATAGTGTACAGTCTTCTTTTTATAAACGATTCAATAAAATTAACTGTTTTTAATTAGTCAGTGGTACAAACAATCGAATTTCTTATGTTTTTATGCTTTTAAAATCCTCGCACAGTCACAGGCCTTAAACACTTGCAAAATATTAATAATCTTGACTCAGCATTGCATATATCCTGCGATGTGACTTGCACATGAACACATTGCGATATCGTGGCTGAAACCAAATATTATGCAGTCCTCGTTGGGATGTGAACATGTTAACTATATGATATATTATTATAATATATACCGGCTGTAGACTGACCAGGGGCTTGTTTCAAAAAAAAGGTTGAACCTCTGGGTTGCAGAGTATGTTTCAGGTATACAAATCCAATGAATGCTAACTGGTTAAGATCAGGTTAACCCTCAGGCATGGATTATACTGCAGCCATTAGTTCTTCTCTTGTGGACACATTTGGGCATGAAAGTCTTAAGTGTGAATCCACTTTATTATTTATTTATTTATATTAAACAAATGTCATGTCACTCTCTTTGAAAAAAAAAAAAAAATCTATCAATTTATGTATTTTTAAAATGTCTTTTTTAGTGTGTGTGTGTGTGTGTGTGTGTGTGTGTGTGTACCTTTTAAAAGTTCCAATCAATAATGCTTTTAATTTTAGTATTCCCCATTCATTTCCTATGGGACAACTTAAATTGAACTTAAATCATTATGACTTATCTTGAATCAAGTCCTCTTTTGTGTTTGATCACCCAACTTAAACTTACAAAAAGGCAAACTTAAAGTAGCCAAGCCATGAACCACTCATATAAAAGAAACCATATTAAAATCATTTATTTTACCTCATTTTCAGGTGGATGTTTATGTAAAACAATGAGTTATGGGTAGATTTTTGCCTTGTCCAATTGAATGGCTTTTTAAAAATATTAATTTAAGTTATATTTCCATCACTTTAGCTATTTTACACAGATATTTAAAAATGAATACAAATTCACTGTGGGGATTATTATTTTGTCTTCAGCTAAATTTAAAACACAACTTTGCATGGATGCGTAGCTGTTAATCAGATCTGTCTTTCTCTTTCAGACAGGACAGCTGACATCACTGTCCCAGCAGATGCTGGTGGACTGCACATGGGGATTTGGCAATAATGGTTGCGATGGAGGAGAGGAATGGAGAGCTTTTGAGTGGATCATGAAGCATGGTGGCATTTCTACAGCTGAGAGCTATGGAGCATACATGGGCATGGTGTGTGAACGTACCCCTCACACCTAAACACAATGCCAGGTCCACACTACACAATAACAGACTGACAAAGCATTGCTTGCAGACCTCTAAATCAATAACTTGTTCATATAATAAAGGAATACTCTGCCATTTTAGGGGGAGAGGCTCATTTTACAGCTCCTCTAGAGTTGAACTGTTTAGTTTTTAAAATGATTCAGCCAGTCTACGGGTCTGGTGGGAGCACTTTTAGCTTGGCATAATTCATCGACTCTGATTAGATCATTAGCATCTCACTCAAATGACCAAAGAGTTCAAATTATTTTCCTATTTAAAGACTTCAGTACTTATGTCTTGTACTAAGACTGATGAGAAATATAAAGTTGTATTTTTCTAGGGTGATACGAATAGGAAATCTACTCTTGTAATATTGAATGAACATTGCTGCAGTACGCACAATATTACGCACCACCTGAAATATTTCTGAATCGTCTCTTACGAATGTCTCCATGATTGCAGGTTTTTCATGCATTGCGTAAAATCATTACACCTGTCTAGTCAAATTGTATTATTTTGTAAATTTGGATCCATTGTACACTGATGGTTGTAATTATCATTGTGTGTTTCAGAATGGTTTGTGTCATTACGATAAGACCTCCATGGTGGCTCAGTTGACTGGTTACACTAACGTGACCAGTGGTGATATTCTAGCACTGAAGGCTGCGATCTTTAAATTTGGGCCTGTAGCAGTGAGCATCGACGCTGCACACCGATCCTTCGCCTTCTACAGCAATGGAGTCTACTATGAACCAGAGTGCAGTAAGTCATGCATTCTAATGCGTCACACCCAAACACATGTTCATTATAGACCATTTCATTTTGATCAGGTCATTGACCCATGAACATTTCCTCCTGATCAAACTATTTCAGAACAGTAACAAGAGGCAATTTAATCATAAGTTAATATTAAAACTGCTAGCCTAACATTATTTATATGTGGCTCTTTTTGTATTCTTGGAAGGTGTAAAAAAAATGTAACACCGGTAATACGCTGGGACCATTGTTTCCGTTTACATCCTTCAAAATGGTCTATACCACATTGCTGTTTTTCTTTTTTTATTTATTTCTTTTTTTGGTGGTATGTATTTCATGTTTTAAAAAAAAAAAAGATTTCATTTATTGAGCCATTGATTTCTTTGCTTCATTGATTCATCGTTCTGCTGCATTGATGTGTTCCACCCACTTCATTGATTTTGTTGTACCGCTTCACTGATTCGTTCTGTTTCGATTCGTCGGTCCGCTCCATTGATTTGTTCTGTTACACTTAATTGATCCATCGTTACACTTCACTCATTAGTTCCGCTTCATTAATTGGTTCCACTTCATTGATTTGTTCCAAATCATTTGATTTTGATCTCTTCTGCTTCATTGATTCGTTCTATTTCACTCATTGATTTTTCACCAACTTTATTGATTCGTTGATACTTCTTCTTTCATTTGGTCCATCCGCTTCATTGATTTGTCGTTTCTCATCGATTCGTCGTTATACTTCTTTCATTTGTTCCATCCGCTTCATTGATTTGTTGTTACCCTTTATTGATTCATCGTGACCCTTTTTGTCGTTACACTTCATTCGTCCATACGCTTTGATTCGGCGTTACACTTCATTGATTTTATTCCACCCACTTCATTAATTCGTCAGTAAACTTCATTGATTTTGTTCCACCCACTTCATTAATTCGTCAGTACACTTCATTGATTTTGTTCCACCCACTTCATTAATTCATTAATTAATCCGTCTTTCGGATGAGACGTTATACCGAGGTCCCGACTCTCTGTGGTCGTTAAAAATCCCAGGATGTCCTTCGAAAAAGAGTAGGGGTTTAACCCCGGCATCCTGGCCAAATCTGCCCACTGGCCTTCATCCATCATGGCCACCTAAACATCCCCATATTCAATTGGCTGCATCACTGTCTCCTCTCCACCAATCAGCTGGTGTGTGGTGTGCGGTCTGGCGCAAAATGGCTGCCGTCGCGTCATCCAGGTGGATGCTGCACACTGGTGGTGGATGAGGAGATCCCCCCCACTATGTAAAGCGCTTTGAGTGCCCAGAAAAGCGCTATATAAATGTAAAGAATTATTATTATTATTATTGTCAGTACACTTCATTGATTTTGTTCCACCCACTTCATTAATTCGTCAGTACACTTCATTGATTTTTGTTCTGATTTGTTGATTCATTCAATTCAGAAAAGTTGTAAAACTGTAGGACTATTGTTTTGTTTTTAGATAAAGGAAGCTTTCTAATATTATTTTAATTGGAGTATGCCATCTCAAGATGTATATTTTAGAAAATGAATTTCAGCACTTTTTGTTAAAAGATGATTCATACCTATAATATATATTTTACCATGATTTATAGAAGACAAACTAAAACCTAATTTAGTGTTGATCTTTTATTTGATCAAAAACATGCATTTAAAATTTATTTTGAGCACATTCATTTTACAATTTTAAATAAGGCCAAATTTGAGCATTTTAATTTTACATGAACATTTAATTTCCTACTAATATAATTTTAATGAGAAAATTGGTGTAATATTTTGTTCAAAATGAATACTAGCATACATGCTGTTTTAAGCACATCAATGTCTTTTTTTTATATTATTGTAAAAACCAAAACTTTCTGTTTCCTTCTGCATCCACAGAAAATGGGATAAATGACTTGGATCATGCGGTGCTGGCAGTCGGTTATGGGATAATGAACAACGAGTCCTACTGGTTAGTGAAGAACTCCTGGTCCTCTTACTGGGGCAATGATGGTTATATTCTGATGTCCATGAAAGACAACAACTGCGGTGTGGCTACTGATGCCATTTATGCCACATTAGCCTAAAACACACACACACACACACACACACACACACACACACACACACACACACCTATCACAAGAGCCAAAAGAAGAATTACTTGTCAGTTTTATTGCAGATTTTGAATGCTGGACAGTTGATCACAGTTTTATTGTGTTTCTTTTTGAATGTCAATAAATGGAAATTCTTAATAACAAATATCCTTGTTCATTAAAAAAGACCTCACATTTCATCATGGAGCAAAAGTAGCACATAGCATGCATGTTCACAGGCAATGATTAGCAACAAACAGACCTACATTAGTAGATCTTTATTGCTCATTTTTAATGTCAAGCTTGTTAAAGACTAAAGTAACCATTTAAAAGTGGCACCAATGATTAAACTTTATCACACTGAAAGACTTTGACCTTCACAAGATCTACAAATCAGAAACATCTAGTAAAAGCCTTTAGATTCTAATAATCATGCAGCACATTTACTTTTGTTTTGTTTGTTTAAAGGGATACGTTTACATCTGATTTTAAGTAGTTTTGGGAAGTCTTAAAACAAAGTCAAAATTGTGACCCTTTTAAAAACTCTCAAAAAATAACCGGATTCATTTACGAACCATTTTGACAATTTCTGATTTAAATGCAGTTCTGCAACCATTTATAGTTCATCAAAAGTCCAAATAAAAAAAAAAATCAGGAATTTCTCAAACATCTGGTTGCAGCTGTTTTCAGGCTTCTGAATATTAACTTTACATACAAGTCTATTCCTCATGCAAAACTATTGTATGGATTAGAACTTTAATATTTCAATATCTATACAAAACAAAGGTTATAAAAAAACAATGGCTGAGCCCTTAGTTACAGGAATGCAAAGCAGTTCAAATAAAACTGGGTGTAATTTTAAGTGAACCATCCCAGTGAATCCAGATTCACACCACACTAAGAGAAGCCAACAAGTACTCCACTGATGTTGCTCAGATCAGTGTATCATTTATTATATGCGTTTCATTTGTGCTCATTGGGCTGGATAATATCTGAGAAGTCATCTGCTTTAATATAGAGATTATACGTCCGTGTTTGTCAGTGTGGTGTAAATTGGCCTTAAAGGGATAGTTCTCCCGGAAATGAAAATTCTATCATATTTTTGATCACACTTCACAATAAGGTTTCATTAGTTCATGTATTTACTAACATTAAAATACACCCACCGGCCACTTTATTAGGTACATCTGTCTAACTGCTCGTTAACGCAAATTACTAATCAGCCAATAACATGGCAGCAACTCAGTGCATCTGCTGCTGTTCAAACCGAGTATCAGAATGAGGAAAAAGGGGATTTCAGTGACTTCCTATTAGTAAACCAATTGAGCATTGTGTCAACACCACAGTCTACCTGAGTATTGTTACTGACCATGTCCCTCCCTTTATGACCAGTGTACCCATCTCCTTATGGCTACTTCCAGCAAGATAACGTGCCATATCATAAAGTGTGAATCATCTCAGACTGGTTTCTTGAACATGACAATGATTTCACTTTATTCAAATGGCCTCCACAGTCACCTGATTTCAATCCAATAGAGCACCTTTGGGATGTGGTGGAACGGGACATTCACATCATGGATGTGCAGCTGACAAATCTGCAGCAACTGTGTGATGCTATCATGACAATATGGAGCAAAATCTCTGAGGAATATATCTAGTACCTTGTTAAATCTATGCCATGAGAGATTAAGGCAGTTCTGAAGGCAAAAGTGGGTCCAACCCCGTAATAGTTAGGTGTACCTTTATAAAGTGGCTGGTGAATGTAAATATGAACACTACTTGTACAGCATTTATTAATCATAGTTTAACATTTACAAATGCATTATTTAAATCTAAATTCATGCTTGTTAACATAAGTAAATGCACTGTGGGTTAACGTGAACTAATAATCAACAGCTGTATTTTCATTAACCAAAATAAATGCATTGTTTGTTTATATTAGTACATGCATTAACTAATACAACCTTATTTCAAAGTGTTACCATCTTTTACTCCTCTTTCACTTGTCCCAAACCAGTTTGAGTTTGTTAAACACAAAGAAAGATATTTTGAAGAATGTTGTGGGGGGAAAAAACAACCACTGACTTCCATAGTATGTTTTGTTCCTACTAATGGTTGCTTTTTTTTCTGGAAAACATTCTTCAGCATATCAGGGTGTCTTAAATTTTAAAAACTACATTTTAGACCTTAAAGTCTTAAATTCACTGTAAGAATGTATTGTAGGTCTTAAGTCATTTTAATCCGGTCTTAATTTTCCAATCAGGCTAACACTCATCCAATCAACAACAATACAGTGCATCTGGAAAGTATTCATAGCACTCCACATTTTTCAATGTTGCAGCTTAATTCCAAAAGGGATTAAATTAATTTATTTCTTCAACATTCTACACACAATACCCCATAATGACAATGTGAAAAAAAGAGATTTAAAATTGTTGCAAATTTATTAAAAATAAAACACCTGAAAAATCACATGTACATCAGTATTCACAGCTTTTGCAGTGAAGCTCTAACTTGAGCTCAGGTACATTCTGTTTCCACTGATCATTCTTGGGATGTTTCAGCAGCTTAATTGGAGTTCACCTGTGGTCAATTCAGTTGATTGGACATGATTGAAAAGGCATACACCTGTCTATATAAGATCCCAGGCTTGGCAGTGCATGTCAAAGCACAAACCAAGCATGAAGACAAAGGAATTGTCTGTAGATCACCGAGGCAGGATTGTCTCGAGGCACAAGCCTGGGGAAGGTTACAGAAAAATTTCTGCCGCTCTGAAAGTTCCAATGAGCACAGCGGCCTCCATCATCTGTTAGTGGAAGATGTTTGGAACCACCAGGACTCTTCCTAGAGCAGGCCGGCCATCTAAGCTGAGTGATCGGTGGAGAAGGCCCTTAGTCAGGGAGGTGATCAATAACCCGATGGTCACTCTGTCTGAACTCTGTGTAGAGAGGAGAACCTTACAGAAGGACAACCATCTGTACAGAAATTCACCAATCAGGCCTGTATGATAGAGTGGCCAGATGGAAGCCACTCTCTACAGTGAAGCATGGTGGTGGCAGCATCATGTTGTGGGGATGTTTTTTAGCAGCAGGAACTGGAAGACTAGTCAGGATAGAGGGAAAGATGAATACAGCAATGTACAGAGACATCCTGAATGAAAACCTGCTTTATAGTGCTCTTGACCTCAGACTAGGTTGACAGTTCCCCAAAATATGAATGGAGTGGCTTCACAACATCTCGGTGAATGTCCTTGAGTGGTCCAGCCAGAACCCAGACCTAAATCCTATTGAACATTTCTGAAGAGATCTGAAAATGGCTGTACACCGTCGCTTCCCATTCAACCTGGTAGAGCCTGAGAGGAACTGCAAAGAGGAATGGGCAAAAATTCCTAAAGACAGGTGTCCCAAGCGTGTGGCATCATATTCAAAGACTCAAGGCTGTAAACGCTGCCAAATGTGCATCAACAAATTATTGAGCAAAAGCTGTGAATACTGATGTACATGTGATTTTTCAGCTTTTTAATTTTTTTAATAAATTTGCAACAATTTCAAAAACTCTTTTTTTTTTCACATTGTCATTATGGGGTGTTGTGTGTAGAATTATGAGGAAATAAATGAGTTTAATACATTTTGGAATAAGGCTAGTAATAATAACAAAATTAGATTTGGAAGGGACTATTAAATGCTTGGTGTTTAACACCGTATACGGTCTTAAATCTGACTTGGTGAAACCCGCAGAAACCCTGTAGATCTCCTTTGTGTTTAACAGAAGAAATAAATTAAGGCTGAGTAAATGAAGGTGAACTATCCCTTTAAGATCAAATTCACTATCGACATTTAATACATTTGACAACAACAGAAGAATAGTTCATTTCTATCAAATAACATCATGCAGTAAAGCTACATTTTTCTGATTTTAAAAAAGATTACATCAGGATATAAGTGTAAAAACTATGTTGTGTCATTTGGCAGTGTGTGGCTGCTATTGAAGTCCATGAGATTGTGACTGTCCATCATCACGGTAATCTCATTGGCTCCATCAAACTACATTAAATCTCTGTAATTGTGCGTATGCTGACATTTCCTTTCATTAAAACAACTAAAAAATACAAACTTGACACTAAACACGAGTAGATTAAGATTATTGAAGACACCAACATGCATGTTTTAACCAGCTTTGGGAATTGATTAATCTGGTGTATTTCCCAAACACTGGACGCACACTCATTATATTACAAAGAAGGCACTGTTTTATTCTATTTTCGACTCATAAAGGCTTCACACTAGTTAGTTGGTGGGCGGGGCTTTCTGATTCTAAAGAGTATCTGATTGGACAAAACTGCCAGGTCGTGCAAGATGAGTCTTCAGTATTTATGGTCCATTTAATGAAGGAAAAACTAAAAATCCCATATGTGGACCACAGAGGGACAAATTTTGGGAGTTGATGTGTGGTTTGTTATGATAGGACAATATTTGGCAGAGATATAACTATTAAGTTTATTTCATATACTATAAGTTTTGATGTATTTATGAGAGTAAATTTACAAAGTGAAATGTGTTTACAAATGAATTTCAAGAGTATCACGTGCTTATGATTGTCCTCAACTGTTCCATCATCTGCTCATGACTGATTATCCAATCAGATGCTTCATAACTCACTATAAATAACCAGAGTTTTCTTATCTCAATATCTTCAGGGGGAGGTACCCCTTTATATATAAAATAAGGTTGCATCGAGAGAAGTGATTTTCCAAGTTCCCAGATCAAGTCATCCCCGTTTTGAACTTTACACTTCAGTTTTATGAAAACTGCAAATCCTGATGTAAATCAGTCAAATAGAAAACCTTAAAAAGGCTCTTCTAAAAATGTATAAAGTATTCAGATATCTGTCAAAAGTCACAAAAAAGGGCATTTTGTATCAAAACCTAAACCATTTTTCACAAATTCTCCAATGTTTCATCATTCTTCAGCATCAGTGATCATGTAAGTGCACTAAATTGAGAGGCTGCATAGTTGGATGTGTGTTTTTGTGACATCAGGACATAAATATGTGCAGTTGAAGTCAGAATTATTAAACCCCCTTTGAATTTTTTTTTCTTTTTTAAATTAGCCCCTTTAAGATAAAGAGTTTTTTCGATAGTCTACACAGAACAAACCATCATTATACAATAACTTGACTAATTACCCTAACCTGCCTAGTTAACCTAATTAACCGAGTTAAGCCTTTAAATGTCAATTTAAGCTGTATCCGCTTGTTAAGTGTGACGTCACGCGAAGCGGCTTCCGGGTCCAAGCGCTCTATTCAACTGAATGGGGAGACTCTTAAAATGGTAATAATAAACGTTTATAAAGCGATTTAATGCTTTCGAAAATCACGATCGCAGTATATATGTCCATGCCTAATATCCGATGGCCAGAAAGTGATTCTTTTTTTTTTTATAAATTCTTACATTTTTGGTATTTGTTATGCAGCAAGCCCAGAGATTGTTGTGTACACTATGGTTTTTATAAAATTAACTTTAATGTGTAATAGGAATAAAACGTGATCATAAACAAATGATTTCTCCACTCAAATGAATGGCGGCTTGGACCCGGAAACAGTATTACATACGTCACAAACACGTCACCACTTAACAAGCGGATAGAGGAGTCTTGAAAAATATCTAGTCAAATATTCTGTACTGTCATCATGGCAAAGATAAAATAAATAACTTATTAGAGATGAGTTATTAAAACAATTATGTTTAGAAATGTTTTGAAAAAAATCTTCTCTCCATTGGGGAAAAATAAACACGGGGTTAATAATTCAGGGGGGTAATGATACTGACTTCAACTGTATATCTTCAACTGTTTGACATACGTATTGCAAGAAGGTGGAGAATTATAAGGGCAATGCTGATGTCCTCATTTCTCAATAAACTTATAAATCCCACATAATGAGTTTTTTCACAAAATTAAAATTATAGTTTTCTGGGAGCGTTGGGTTTGGGGATAGGGTGGGGTTAGGGCAATAGAAAATAGAGTTTGTGCAGTATAAAAACAGTGGAAACCTATTCAATGTCCTCACAATTGACAAAAACAAGTGTGTGTTTGTGTCTGTCTATCTACACTCATCTGCTAAACTCTGCAGTTCTTGTCCTTCTGTGTTGTTTGGTGATTGACTGGCTTGTACAGGAATTTGTCCATCATATTTCAGAGTAGACCTAAAAGAGAAGTAACAGGGTTGTCATTTTTGTGTGAACTCTCGCTTTAGGTGTGTGTGTGTGTGTGTGTGTGTTTATTTACTTCTCTGTATCATGAATGCTGTCGGGCAGTGGTTGTCTGGCAGTCTCGGGCAGTGCTAAAGCGAGCGCTGCAGCTAGCAGAGGTGTGGAGCCGAAGATCAGCATTGGCACAACAGGTGTGTGACGGCCCAGCAGGTTTATTAGCGGCGCTAGAACTCCACCCATCCGCGCAAACATAGATGAAACACCAATACCTGTTTGTCTGGAGATAGAAAAGCCAAAAAAAACATGATTTCCAAGAATATGCTTCGATTTTCAATTATTTTTTTAAGATCTGAGCGAATTAATAAGGGTAGCGAGAGACAGAAGCAAAGCAATCTTAAGTCAGCCAGAGAACATGACAGAAGAGGTAACTGTGGGCTCTTCTTGAAGATTAGACGGAGTCATTTAATTATTATTTTTTCACTTGGCAAGTAACAGTGAAGGGATCTGAATAGGGATTGTTCATGCAATTTATGTTTGTAGCAACATGATTTTATTATCCGTGACTGACCTATAATGTTATATGCCACAAAATAATTAAAGACCGTTCAGAAATGTGCTTTTTTTTTTGCGTTATCACTGTTTAATGATGACATGTATTACGCCCCAAGTCTAGGGGAAACGAAAAGGGCATAATAAACGAAGAACAAACAAACAAATGTGTTGAGGTGGTGGATTTCCCAAACTAAACAACACTTAAAGCAAAAGATTCCCTTCGGTCGACAACCAAACTCACAAGCTCAATTGAGAGTATATATGAAGATATTTATTATAGAAAAGTAGGGTTTATATAAACGAGCATTTCGTCAGGGTGACCACAGGTTAAAATAACAAACAAAAGAATCTATAAAATAAATCCACTAAATTACCTATTACTATTTAAAGAAACATACAAGAATCTTACCTGACTCCCTAATATAAACAAAGTCAAAAGTAATTAAATAAATAGGCAGGTCACCCCTACACGCTCAAACTCTCAATAAATATTCAAGCATAGGATGGTCATCAATACAAAATTGATTATTGTTGGTCGTCGGCCGAAGGGGTGAGGGAAACCCAGGAGCTCCACTCCAAACACCGAACGCAGCAGAAATGAGCTCTCCGATTCCTGCCGGAAGCTCCCTTTTATACAGGCCTCGTAGACCAGCAGCCAATCAGAGCAGGGAATCACGCCGGCGTGGGAGCCTATAAGACATCAGAAAAACAGCAAGGAGGCGGGACAAAAGAAAAAGGTGTACAATCCGCAATAGTAAAAAAAGTAAATAAACTTCAGTCGTAACACATGTCTTGGGAAAACTGAAATTGTGTGGTGGACGTTGGTCACGATAACTTTTATTTCCTGGTTTTGTTCTGGGAATTATTCATTAAAAAGAAAATGAATGAATGAATGAATGAAATTAAGCACAGATAAATCGTTTATAACAAGAACTACTTTAATTAGTTGAAGGACCCTTGTTAGATCATGTGACTGAAGCCCTCTGAAGCCAATGACGTGCACCTGCTAGTTTTGATTTTAGAATTGTTTCACGTATATAAATAACTTTTTTGGAACCACTATAAAATGTGTTGTTCTTTGCTGTGACACTCGCTTATCGACACAAGTCATGGAGGGAAAAAATATTCATAAGTTCACACTTTATTTTAATGTACAATTCATGCTAATAACAAACCATTAACTAAGACTTAAAATCAATCACAAGCTATATGTACATCATTAAAAAGCTGTTAATCTTCATATCCAATGTGTCACACCATAAGACATTCCGTAAAATGTTTTTTAAAAATGGGAAAGAATGTTTAAAGTAGGGGTCACCAATCCTAGTCCTGGAGGGCCGGTGTCCCTGCAGGGTTTAGCTCCATCTTGCCTCAACACTCCTGCCTGCATGTTTCAAGTATACCAAGTAAGACCTTGATTAGCTTGTTCAGGTGTGTTTGATTAGGGTTGGAGCTAAAATCTGCAGGACACCGGCCCTCCAGGAACAAGTTTGGTGACCCCTGGTTTAAAGTATAATCTATTAACTTCAAGCTACATAACTATATTCTTCAAAAGCCTTTTTTTATACTTTAAAACTTTTATCTGGGTCAGCTACTCAACTATATGCATGATGCAAGTACCTGAGGACGGTCGGGAAAAGTTCTGCAGAATAAACATAGATGATTGCAAAGGATGCTGTAATTCCAAATTTCCCCACCATGGCCAAAGCTGTCCGAACATGAGCACTGTCTGAAAAAAGACAGTAAGAATGGGCTCAATATAGCAAGACAATCCTATACACTACACAAAAACGACAGAGATAGAGATAAATGTAGTGAAGACCTGCTGGAAGAGTGAGGGTGAGCAGACATGCTCCTCCTCCAACGACCAGAAACACACTCAGCGGGATCTTCCGACTGCAGGGCAGGAGAACCAACACCAGCGTCCTGGCAGGAATCTCCACCAATCCAAACATGAACTGAGTGAGGTAAAGGTCAGCGCCGAGGTCAGACACTCCCAGAGACAGACCATAATACACCAGTACATTAACAAACCTGGAGAAACAGAGGGGCAAAAGATATTACAGGGGCAGCTTTAGGAGTGTGTGAAGGATAAGACCCTAAAGATTTACAAAAACACACAGCTCAGTCCTGTGTAACTGGAGGAAAAAAAATATTACAGGTCCAGTGAAATTAAAATTCAGTTTTTAGATGTTAGCATGTTAGTTATAAGCTAGTTTGCTCCAAAACAATGCTAAAAATTGTGTTTAGAAGATATAAACCTGATGTAAACATCAACAAGCTTGCAGTTTGTCACTTCTGCTAAAATGGATCAAGATTTTTTAGATGTCATCTCATATTTCAGTTTCTCATCAAACTTCTGACCAATCAAGAGCTCTCTAGTGTCTGACATGCCCTGCCCCCTTTAGGACGCTACTCATTTGCTTTTCCTTTGATGCACTTGAGCTCAAACACTCTCACTGGCGGAGCAGTGATAAAAACAAAACACTGGCTGTTTTTCATGAAGCTGCTTTACTGTGTAGAACGGGAGTTTTTGTGAAAGTGTGGAATGTCTCACCAGATGTAGAAGAGTATGAGCGCTCTCTTCCTCATCTGTGGAGTTCGAAGCAGGTCGACCACTGTATACTTACTACGTCCCTGTGGGCTCTCATATCTCTCCACCTGCCATAGCAGAAGTAACACTTTAATACATAATTACAAACACAATAAAACATCCCTGTTTGGAAATCTGATACATGGAAACATCTGCAAATTACATATATGACAATGCAATCATATTTGCATTTACATATACAAGTTGTCATATATTTCAAAATGTTGCAAAAATGGCTATTTGCATGTTTTTTCAACAGTTGGAATGACAGTATGTACATATATGTTCAAATATATTGGATTATATATATTATTTATACATATCTTGCAACCTCCTGCTCTCCCTTGTTAAGCAAACACAGAAGTAACTGAAACTGCAATCGAAATTCCACTAGTCCTGGCTACATAATAGAGCAGATTTTTATTGAGCCCACCGTTAGAATAGCCAACCTCACAGCAGAAAAGGTGTTTACAGCCTAGCACAAAGAACGATTTTGGTTCATACAGCTAATATTACCCTTCATGACAACTGTGAGGGGGTGAACTGTTAACTCATCTGTTTCCTTTATATTAGGTTATATTAAGTTTGCATAATTAAGGGCGTGGCCACTTGAGTGACAGCTAGGTCTCGCTGATCGCCCTCACTTCACCTCAGCTAATTCCGGCTGTTTAGCTGCTGAACTCGGCATATACATGGTATTTTTGTTTTATTTTATATGGCGTTACACAGTCAGTTGCCTTTTGGAATTATTTCCTACAATTATCAGAAGATAAGGCATGCTGTGTGCACTTAATTGTGGTCATAAACCATTCACGTGGCCTCCATTTTCCAGGTGAGTGAAATTTATACTTATATACCATCTCTAAAAATGTATTTGTTTTATTTAAGATCATTTATCATTTATGTTTTTTTAGAGCTGTAATGCACTCCAGAATCTGACAGATTGATTAGCTGTAGGCTCTAGAACAGTCATCTGAAACGTTGTCATACAGGGTTATGGCTGGATTTCGTAAATACAGACTATATTTGAAGTGTTTGGAAGTAATTCGGGTTTTTCTCCTGTAGAAAACACTTTATTGATATAGTGTACAACCAAACACATGTGGTCAGAACACAAACGAGTTGCAGGTAATGAAGTATTAAGCGTTTCTCCCATAGGAAAGCCGGTCTAAGCAAAATGCCAGCAGGCATCTGTAGCTCCGCTCACACTCCGCCACTTTGGACTTTGGTATCCCCCAGTAGATGCGTTGACTCGCGAACATAAAAGTCCACGGTTGGCCATGCCTACTGGTCGCTTTTTTGGAGTTCTTCAGAAATCAATGGGTGATGTCAAGGATACTACATCCATATCTTTTACAGTCTATGATATATATATATATATATATATATATATATATATATATACAGTTTAAGTCAAAATTATTATATATACAGCCATATGTGAATGCATAAATGGTGACGTGTTCAATGCTTATTTTTCCCCACAGTTGATCATCTCTTATTGAAATATCATGTATATGTATGTATATATATATATATATATATATATATATATATATATATATATATATATATATATATATATATATATATATATATATATATATATATATATATTGATCTTGCTATAAAATAACCAAAAGTTGCTGATGTAGCATTGCAGAAATGTTGGAAATATTGCAATTCCAATAATTTTTTTTTTTACATTTTGTAAATAATTATATACATGTTCATATACAGGTAGGGCCATATTATAAAACATATATATAAAATTATAGCTAACATATTGCACATATTGTAATTCCAGTGGTTGAAACAAATATTTAAATTGACATTTTTGTAATAATTTGTAAAATATTTGCAAATAAATTTGCTTATCTGTCATATTTTACATATGTGAGATTTAAATTCCATTAATTCATTTTGGATTAGTCCCTTTATTCATAAGTGGAATGAAACACAAACTTATCCAGCATATTTTAGACAGGGGATGCCCTTCCAGCTGCAACCCATTACTGGGAAACACCCATACACTCTCACATGCGCGCACACACACACTACGGCCAATTTAGTTAATCCAATTCACCTGTACCACATGTCATTGGACTGTGGGGGAAACCGGAGCACCCGGAAGAAACCCACGCCATCACGGGGAGAACATGCAAGCTCCAAACAGAAACACCAAGTGACCCAGCTGGGACTCGAACCAGTGCCCTTCTTGCTGGGAGGCGACAATGCTAATCACTGAGCCACCGTGTCGCCCTCAAATTTGAACTTGTATGTCACATATGTACACTAATTTGCATATATTGCCATAAATAAGATTTTTATATGCATCCTGTTGTCCACCTCGACAAACATGCACACACACACACACACACACACACATTCAGGACAAGTGCAAAAACTCTGATAAATGCACTCGATGATGTGGAAAAGTGAAAAGGATAAAACAGAGGCCCCTCAGACTCCTCAGATGGGGGATGGTGGATTTCATTGTGATGCTAACGGAGCTTTTGGAGACTTTATGGGATTTGAAAATTGTGCCAGAGACGTGACGGAGAATGAAAGCCTGAAGAAAGAGGGCCTATGAGAACGTTTGTGATACCTGAACAGTGGGAGGCAAGGTGCGGCCATTGACCGAAGCTGCTTTACGCAGAAGATCAATCGCCTCCTCTTTCCGGTTATTCACCAGCAGCCAGCGGGCAGAATGTGGAAGAACCCTGAGAAAACAGAGGAGATTTATGTTGTCAGATTAATGAAGGCAGAGGAAGGGAGGCTGAGAAAATTTATGGACTCTTTTATTAGGTAGCTTTTGTAAAAAAAAGGCTTATTGCGCAATCAGACACATTCGAACATTTAACTATTTGTGCTTTTTAGTGTATATCCTCTTTATTAGGTACACCTGTCCAACTGCTCATTGACACAAATTTCTAATCAGCCAATCACATGGCAGCAACTGAATGCATTAAAGGTATGTAGACATGATCAAGACGATCTGCTGCAGCTCAAACCGAGCATCAGAATGAGGAAGAAAGGTGATTTAAGTGACTCTCAGTGAGGCATGGTTGTTGGTGCCAGACGGGCTGGTCTTAGTATTTCAGAAACTGCTGATCTTCTAGGATTTTCACGCACAACCATCTCTAGGGTTTACAGAGAATGGTCCGAAAAAGAAGGAATATCCAGTGAGCGGCAGTTCTAATGGTGTCGGGGATATTTTCTTGGCATATTTTGGGCCTATTAGTACCAATTAAGCATAATGTTAACGCCACAGACTACCTGAATATTGTTGCTGACCATGTCCATCCCATTTTGACCACAGTACCCATCTTCTGATGGCTACTTCCAGCAGGATATTGTGCCATGTCATAAAGCGCGAATCATCTCAGACTGGTGTTTTGAACATGACAATGAGTTTACTGTACTCAAATGGCCTCCACAGTCACCAGACCTCAATCCATTAGAGCACCTTTGGGATGGGGTGGAATGGGAGATTCGCAGGAGAATCGAATTTGGGTTGCCGTGAACACCGGAGTGTCATGTGTTGATACACTAACCACTAAACCATTGGCGCCGACGCCACGAAAGACTAGTTCAGAAGGCAAAAGGGGGTCCAACCCGGTACTAGTAAGGTGTACCTAATAAAGTGGCCAGTGGGCGTATGAGCTGTTTTTAAGGAATAGTTCACCAGAAATGGAAAATCTGTCATAATTTACACACCATTTGCTTGTTTTTAACCTTTATGAGTTTCTTTCTTCTGTTGAAGACTAAAGAAGATATTTTGAAAAATTTTGGAAACCTGTAACCATTGACTTACATAGTATTATTTCACACATAGTATTATTTTTATGAAAGTGAATGGTTACACTTTTCCAGCATTCATTCAAATATCTTCTTAAGTGTTTGAGAGAAGAAACTTATAAAGGGTTTACAACCACCTGAGGGAGAGTAAATAGTGAGTAAATATTCATTTGTGGGTGAACTATCCCTTTAAGTCAGTTTAACATAATGTGATTTAAAATGACTTGTTATTTAATGTAAAAATTTAAGAAAACCACACATTTAACAGTGTGTGCAAAGTATCCAGACACTGTGTTTGCAAAAGTGGAGTATGTTTACTTTCTATAAATGCATAAATAGTTATTAACATTAAAAATGTATTAGATGCGCCTTTAATGCAGAATGAGTAGAATCAGAAGCAGAACAAAGCTAGGTGCTAGGTACAAAGCTACTAAAGTAAGGTGTACCTAATAAAGTGGCCAATGAGTGTATATATTTTATACACAGAAATAATATTATAAAAGTGATAACACTTAGTATAAGTGCCATTCGGTTTACTTGGCAATAATTAAATACAATTCAACAGGAATTCAACAGTTATGTAAGTAAATGCTGTTTTGTTTATCAAAGATTCCTCACGGTTTACACAAGAATATTAAGCACAACAACTACTTTTAACATCGATAATAACAATAAATGTTATTAGATCACCAAGCCAGCATATTCTAATGATTTTTGAGTGATCATGTGATGCTAAAGTCTTGAATAATAAAGCTGAAAATTCAACTTTGCATTGCAGAAATAAAAATCAATTTAAAAACTATGTGAAAATAGAAATTGTGATAATTTAAAAAAAATAATATTTAATAATATTTACAATTTTTTTCTTTTATTTTGATCATATAAATGATGCTTGGCCCAGATCAGTGCTCCTTTCCAAAACCTTTTTAAAAACCTTTCCCAGCCCATGAAGAATATAGAAATGCAAAAACAAAACATGCTTAAAATTCTTAAAACCTCCTAAAAACCTTCTTTCTTGGCCATTTTGATACTTGGTTTTAACATTAGCAGGTTTAGACCACCCCTACATGCATCAAGATGCTGACTTGTGATTGGCTAAGTAGATCTATGCAATAATTAGTAATGCAATTTTGACGTGTTAACTAGTGCTGTCTGACCAGATATAGAATATGAAGAGAAAGCCAGGAGCAGAGATGGCCAGCTGCAGTTTCCTCCAGTCTCTGATGAGAAAAGCCACACCAGCCAGCAACATGTAGCCAAAACCGAAAAAGTAGTCGGTGAAGATGCCGGCCAGCATCCGTCTCTGTGTGCAAGTCCACTCGGTGCCTGTAGAGGACGGTGGGGATGAGGGTCAGTCTTTAGGGAATGTGTCAGGAATGGAGTTTAAAAGGGTTCAGTCTGGGGTCAAAGTATTGAGGTTAAGGGCAGAGAAGAACATTAGATCATTATTGTTGCCATATTAATATATCAATGTCACAGTGTGATCTTAATGTCCTGCTTTTTTCATATTGTGATGCAGTGCCTAGAGAAACAGGACATTAAATGAGAAAGCAGTGGGCGTGGCTTTTTTAACTGCGAGCTGATTGGATGTAGTAAAGTAGGGATTTCATTCAGAAAGATGGGGGGAAAGGGTTTGAGGAGAGTTATTTCAACCTAACAGAAAAATTCTGCTCAACATTTCTGTTTGTTGTCTAAACTGACAGCTAGAGGGGCGTGGTTAAGTATGTTAGCCACGCCCAACACCTCAGAGAGACCTAATGTGATTAATGAAAACAAACAGGACATGCATTTTCAGATTTCAGTTTTAGATTACAAGAGCAAACACATTTTTTTCTTAATGACGTGCAGATGAATTGTTCACCATGAAAATAGCAATGTGAGCTAACAAAAACAAAATGGTTAGTTTTGATTTCATGTGTACTTTAAAGGACAGTTCACCCCAAAAATAAAAATATAGTAATTATTTAAGTATATTTTTGATTGTAATAGAAAGGGTTGGTGAGGTTTGGGGTGTGGAAAAGCTTCAGTGTTTGTAACTGTATTTTTATTTATTTATTTATTTTTATTGTCATGTCTTTATGGGACCCCCTTGAAAATGAGATGAGGTTATCCTTTAAATAATTTGATAATTGAATAAAACATTGCTCAACATCAAGATGTCAAAACCTTGATGAGTTTCTGTTGAACACAAAAGAAGGTATTTTGAAAAGTGATGGATACCGGTAGTCATTGACGTCCATAGTGAAAAAAACTATATGTTTCAATGGATAATGGTTTCTGAAATATCTTCCTTTGTTTTTATCAGAAAAAGAAAATCTAGAGTGCACTTTTTAGATTAACATTTTACGTGAAGAGGAGTTCATGACACACGTCATGAACGTGAATGAGATTTTATGCATGCTTATGACAACTGTTATTAAGTGTCAATGGCTCAGTTATGTCATTTTAAATGCAAAGATGACATTGTTTTTTACGACAACTTGACATAAACAAATACATCTAAACCTTTTTGTCTGTCCTGACATTACCAAGACAACAACATCTGTCATAAACATGATTGTCATAAAGCTATTATAAATATGTCATGAATTGTACAACATTCGTTGTCATTCGTTTTTTGTCCTCAAGTACTGTGGTACAAGCTGAATTTGTTATTAAAATGTCATTAAGTATTCATGATGCTATTAAATATTACTTGGCAGACTAATGACACTTAATGAGACATTTTATGGATAAATATAGTTTGTTCCGCTGAAAATGTGATCAGAAAAACATTTTGACACAATTATAATGTTTATGACAGATTTATGACAAGTTTTATTGTCTTGGTAATGTAAAGTTGTCATGACAAAAATAAAGACCAGATGTGATGTATTTGTTTATGTCAAGTTGCCATAACAATCAATGTCATTTTTAGATTTAAACTGATATAACTGAGCAAATCAAACTTAATAACAGTTGTCACAACCACGCATAAAATCTCATTCACTTTCAAGACATGTGTCATGATCATAAAGGTTTAAAGACAGGTTTCATGGTCATATGAACGCTCCCCTTAGGTAAAGTGTTATCCTTTATAGTTTGTCCATATGGTGGCAGTGTCATTGAGTTGGAAGCATTCAGAGGAGACAGACAGTTTTGCCAAGTCTGTCTTTTCCTGCGAAATTGGGCTACTTTTTAAAAACATAACATATCTTTATAGTTATTATACATGTCTTTAACTCTAGCACTCTCTGTCTCACCTAGCACAAATGCATTGATTATCACCCCCGACACAGTCATTCCTATGATGAAGCGCAGACCGACATAAACAGGAAAGTTTGGGGCGAAGGCAGCAGCAACACCAAACACCGTCTGAAGAGCCAAAGACACAAGCATGGCAAACCTCCTCCCATACCTTACAGAGAAAGAGAAATGAACAAGTGCTTTTATTTGACAATGCGAATTTGGCCTCTAATAAGTGTCTAGCTGTTCTGGATTTATCATATCAAGTAAATTTAAATATGATGTCATTTTTAAACATAAATAAATCACAGCCACATAAGTTAATTAACTCATTTAAATTAGTTAACAATATTTCAACTTTTATAACATACTGTACACTTACAGGCCACTTTATTAGGTACACCTGTCCTATTGCTCGTTAACGCGAATTTCTAATCAGCCAATCACATGGCAGCAACTCAATGCATTTAGGCATGTAGACATGGTCAAGACGATCTGCTGCAGTTCAAACCGAGCATCAGAATAAGGAAGAAAGGGGATTTAGGTGACTTTGAACGTGGCATGGTTGTTGGTGCCAGACGGGCTGGTCTGAGTATTTCAGAAACTGCTGATCTACTAGGATTTTCCCACACAACCATCTCTAGGGTTTACAGAAAATGGTCAGAAAAAGAAGAAATATCCAGTGAGCGGCAGTTCTGTAGGTGCAAATCCCTTGTTGATGCTAGAGGTCAGAGGAGAATGGCCAGACTGGTTCCAGCTGATAGAAAGGCGGCAGTCACTCCAATAAGCACTCGTTACAACTGAGGTCTGCAGAAGAGCATCTCTGAATGCACAACATGCTGAACATTGAGGTTGATGAGCTACAACAGGTGTAATTCCTGTGAGCTAATACAGGAAGCTGAGGCTACAATTCGTACAGGCTGTCCAAAATTGGACAATAGAAAACCTTGACTGGTCTGATGAGTCTCAATTTCTGATGGTTAGGCCAGAATTTGGCATCAACAGCATGAAAGCATAGATCTATCCTGCCTTGTATCAATGGTTCAGGCTGCTGGTGTTGGTGTAATGGTGTGGGGGATATTTTCTTGGCGCACTTTGGGCCCATTAGTACAAACTGAGCATCGTGTCAACACCACAGCCTAGCTGAGTATTGTTGCTGACCATGTCCATCATTTTATGACCACAGTGTACTCATCTTCTGATGGCTACTTCCAGCAGGATAACGCGCCATCTCATGAAGCACAAATCATCTCAGGCTGGTTTCATGAGCATGAAATTGAGTTCACTGTTCTCAAATGGCCACCACAGTCACCAGAGCTCAATCCAATAAAGCATGTTTGTGATGTGGTGGAAAAGAAGATTCGCATCATGGATGTGCAGCCGATGAATCTGCAGCAACTGTGTGATGCTATCATGTCAATATGGACCAAAATCTCTGAGGAATATTTCCAGGACCTTGATGAATCTATTCCATGAAGGATTAAGGCAGTTCTGAAGGCAAAAAGTGGTCCAACTCGGTAATAGTAAGGTGTACCTAATAAAGTGGCCAGTGGGCGTACGAGCTGTTTTAAAGGAATAGTTCACCAGAAATTAAAATTCTGTCATCATTTACACACCATTTGCTTGTTTTTAACCTTTATGAGTTTCTTTCTTCTGTTGAACAGTAAAGAAGATATTTTGAAAAATGTTGGAAACCTGTAACCATTGACTTACATAGTATTATTTTTATGAAAGTGAATGGTTACACTTTTTCAGCATTCATTCAAATATCTTTTTTTAGTGTTCGAGAGAAGAAACTTATAAAGGGTTTACAACCACTTGAGGAAGAGTAAATAGTGAGTAAATATTCATTTGGGGGTGAACTATCCCTTTAAGTCAGTTCAACATAATGTGATTTAAAATGACTTGTTATTTAATGTAATAATTTAAGAAAACCACACATTTAACAGTGTGTGCAAAGTATCCAGACACTGTGTTTGCAAAAGTGGAGTACGTTTACTTTCTATAAATGCATAAATAGTTATTAACATTAAAAATGTATTAGATGAGCCTTTAATGCAAAATGAGTAGAATGAGAAGCAGAACAAAGCTCGGCTTGACCTCAGGTTGTTTATATCTGCGTGAACAAATGACATGTGTTGTGTGTATGTGTGTGTGTGTCTGTATATCTACAGTGTATACCTGTCTGCCATTGCTCCAAATACAACAGCTCCTACAAGCAGACCCAGCATGTAGATGGAGGAGCCCAGACTGCTCAGACCTCTCTTATCACACACCAGGTCCCACTGCACAAACACACGCAAAACTCTAATGTTAGTCAGTGGATTATTTTTTATTTGTTATTTAAGAATGAAATTATACAATCACAATCAGGAGATCAATATAAGAGACACAAAAGAGGAAAAATAAAAACTACATTAGCTGCAAAAAGAAAAAAAGACTAACAAAACAACGGAAGGGGTAAGTTAATTACAATTTTATAAAAGTGTATGAAAATAAATAAATTAAGAGCATTACGGGAAAGCTATCTAACTCAAATGAGAGTCAATAGACAACAGTTCGACATAATAGAACCAAGAATCTGACACAGTTTTTGTTGTTACACATATGGAAAGATTTGAGCAGTGAGTCAACTTCAATTAGAAAATGTTAAAAAAAAGTAGGGACTGAAGCTACGCACTTTTGCTTATGTATAAAAAAATTTCCAAACAAGATAAAAAAGTTTAAGATAAATTCTTTAGATTCATGTGAAGATTCTGAGTCATAACAAATAATTACTTTTAAACTAAAAGATTGTGTAAAGGTATGAGGAGTGTTTAAATAACGATACAGCTCAAACCAAATTAACACATACAAAATAAATGTATTAAAGTTTCATTATCCTTACCACAAAATGTACAACTACTCAGAATATCAACCTATTTGGAAACAAATGAGTTAGCCAGATATATTTTATGCAATATTTTAAAATGGATTTCTTTAATTTTATTAGGAAGGAAGTATTTATGAGGCAACAGCCAAGCTTTTCTCCAGTCTATTTTATTAATTAATGCAGCCCAATGAAATTTGCCTCGCGGAACAATACGATTTCTTTGCTGAAGAATTAGATAAATTTGTTTAATATTACTTTTTTTTTTTTACCATGAATGTCAATGCCTTCCAGCAATAATGCTGATCCCTTCATATTTTTTTGTATTGTGTTGTACATGACTTTTGACCAGATGCATTAAACTTGTGGGGATAGCTCTAAGGACAGTATTATATTCTCTAAAGGGAATAGAAAAGTAATGTACAGTCATAAAACTATAAAAAAAAAGTAATAAACTAATCCTCTATTAAACCAATTACGATAAAAAGAGATTTATTTCTAACAGTTAAATCCATATTATTCCACAAGATAATATTGTGGGGTGAAAAGTTGTGAATGTCGCACAACCTCAATGCAAGAAGAGCCTGCTGATGAAAACTGGCTAATTTAACCCTAGTCAGTGGAAATAAGTATTATTGACATATTATAGATGACATTATATATATATATATATATATATATATATATATATATATATATATATATATATATATATATATATATATATATAAATGTATGTATATAACATTTTGTAGTTAAATATAACCTAAGGTAATCCATCCCTGTAATGGAAACCTGAATATGCAGCATCAACCAAGGTTAAAAATTGAAAACATTCTAGAAATTAAGTCACTGTTAATCAATAAAATTTGTAGTTTTTGAATTTAGGTATTGTTTTCTGACCAAACAATTTATATGGGCTAAATTAAACAAACAAAGTTAAACAATACTAACCTATTAGTATTAAATTCAGCCCAGCTAAATTGTTTGTGATCAGTTACCTTAAAAATGTAGTAAATCCAATTAATCATTTTCAATGTACGTATAATAAAAGTAGATTATGTAGTCTATAATATTTTATTTGGGTAAATGTTAAGTCTGGATCTGTGTGTTTACCTCAGTGACAGTGGTGCTCTGAAAAACCTCGTGGCTGTAAACCCATCCAGTCTCACAATTCGTGCGCGCGCTCCGGTTCACTCCTGAAGCCGCCGTGCACGCGTCCGCGAATCCGGCCAGACGGGAGATGCTCAAGTTCACATGTGAAAGATTGGAGGTAAAAGTCCAGTCCTCCATCCCTGAAGTTGAACCCCGACAGCGGTGTGGTGGTGTGGCGCCTGTAAACACGCTCGCCATCATGTGAAACCCGAGAAAAATCTGAGGTAAACAAATCCAGACATACAGAAGCTTCTGATATTTCCCGAAGCCACCGATTGTGGCCAGTAGCTGATCGAAATTCATTCCCGACTTTTTAGCCTTACACCACCCTCAAAATAAGGTAAGTATCACACAACAAAAATCAAATAATCTATTCAGAAGAAAGCGCGCAGAGATCAATAGTATTTTACGCAGCACGTGCCATTGTGTGGTTGTTCATATGCAAGAATGAAAATTATATTTTAAGGTTGTAAAAATCGCTCAGGAATGTAATATTTATCATTAATAGCTAAAATAAATTATGTTGAACCGATTTCCACTTACTAATCGTCTTTTTTCTCTCACACATCAATCAGAATACACAAAAAATCACAACATATATTCACAAGAATGCGCGCAGCCGCAGAGATCAATAATAGGCTACTTTACGCAGCACGTGCCATTGTGTTCCTGTTGTTATAAGGCAAATATGCAAGAATGAACATGATATATTTTTAAAAAGGCTCAAGAAAGTAATTTTCCTCGGACCTGCCCAAAAAAACACAATCATTAAAAGCTAAAATAAATAATGTTAAACTAATGTCCACTTTACAGACGTATGTTTTTCCTCACACATCCATCAAAGTACAGCGAATATCACGATAGAATAACAAAATCATAACTATCTATTCATAATAAAGCGCGGATGGATGAATACTTTACGCAGCACGTGCCATTGTGTAATTAATTATTATCATTATGCAAGAAACTAAATTATATTTTGAGGTTTAAATGACTCTAAAGAAAGTCATTTTCTCCGGATCTGCTCAAGAAACCACGATCATTCAAAGCTAAAACAAATCATGTTGAACTGATGTCCATCACATTACAGCGATAAAAATCCCAACCATCTATTCCGTAAAAGCGCGCAGAGACTAATAGTTACGCAGCACGTGCCATATGTGTTGTTATTGTTATTATGCAAGAAACAAAATGATATCTTGAGGTTTAAGAAACGCTCCAGAAAGTCCAGTTCTCCACTGATGCAATCATAAACGCGATCATAAACAGCTTAAGAAAACCACGTTGAGCTGATGTCCACTTTAATGACGTCTTTTGTATCCATCTAACTGTTCGGTATCTCCAAAAATAAATATACACCCGCGCGCGCTCCGCTTCTGTTACAAAATAGGGAAAGCCGAAAACCGGAGCAGGATCACATATCGTCTGGAATGGATCGCAAGTTTGAATGTAACTCAATCGACTAGCAATCTTGACGAATAAGACAAGCAAAAAGTATCTCTCGCTTTGTCTGGAGTAGTAAGATCCTGCACATGAGCATGTTTTAGCGGAGCTGGTGTAAATGGGACACGCACGCGCATAATGAGTCTGTAGATCAAAGCTGTGTGTAAATTAGTCCCGCGCGACCCCATCCACTGCTGCTGCACCTTAAACGAGAAAAACAACCTCCGGGTGAAACCAAGCGATCAGATACAGTGACTTGGGGAAACAAAAGCATGCCTTCAGAATGCCGTGATTCATTTCAAATGGTACATCACGGCATTTATGTTAAGCCATAAGACCATAAACAGCTCCAGGAACAAAAAATATATGGTGAATAGACTGTCTATTGAACATGTAGCTATATATAGACATCATTTGAGCAAATAGTGGCTTCATTGAAAGGAAAATTTCTAAAAGAGTTTGAATAGAAATAAGAGGAATTTAACAATTGTGCACAAATGCAATTATATTAAAAAGTAGTCAATTAAAATGCCAATGAAAAATAAAATTGCATCAAATACTAAATTTTCAACAACAAATTACTAATAAATGAAAGGAATTTTAATACTATGTGCACAAGTGTGAACATTAAAAAAAGGAGTCAATTCAAACGCCTACTATGGTACTTGAATAAATGTGTTGTGTTAATTCTATAGTTGCTGTGGTAATAATACAAATTATTACAATAATAATAATAATGATAATACTAATAATAGTTAGTCATTATAACTTAGTTTTATATATTACACTGCAATACACATCACAGCTTACTGTGGTAAAAACAAAAGTATAAAATTTGTTATGGTTTAAGAGTTCATTAATTAATTAATGTTACAGGATGTTGCAGCATTGATTAACAAATTATTAAAGTATAATAAACTTTATTATAGTATGGTTCAGAAACATTAGCATTTACTTTTAATTATTACAGTATATTTTTTCATGTGGGAGCTGTAAACTAGTCGTGGATGTGGTTTTACAAAATAATAAATTAATAAAAATGTAAATAAAAAGTAGAGAAAAAAAAAGAGAAATGTGAAAATTTCTCTGCGCTGTAAATCATCATTTGTAAATATTTAAAAAATAAAAAAAAAATAAAAGGGGGCTGATTATTCTGACTTTAACTATAATAAATATGCAACTCTTGTTAATGCTGCAGCATACTAACTAATAGAGGCTGTAGTAAACTTTAGGTTTTCCCCCGGGTGCTCCAGTTTCCCCCACAGTCCAAACACATGTGGTATGGATGAATTGGGTAAGCTAAATTAGATTAGTAAAGGGACTAAGCTGAAAAGAAAATGAATGAATGCATTTGGACTTGCATTTAGACTATGTTCAGAATAGCAGGATTGAGACACTGTAAGATGTTGTTTGTAGCAAAAATTCAATATCAAAATGCACAGTGAGCGAATGTTGCACTATTCTGTAAGCTAAATGTATTTTAAAGCATTGACACTCAAATATCATGTTCAGTGATGAATGTTGAGTTGAAGTAGTTTTGAAAAATCATTCTAATGAACTAATCATTTAACTGGGGGGCGGCATGGTGGCTCAGTGGTTAGCACTGTGGCCTCACAGCAAGAATGTTGCCGGTTTGAGTCCCGGCTCAGCTAGATGGCATTTCTGTGTGGAGTTTGCATGTTCTCCCTGTGTTGGTGTGGCTTTTCTCCGGTGTGCTCTGGTTGCCCAAACAGTCAGAACACATGCAATAGGTGAATTGAACGTAAAAGATATGCCAGAATAGTTTATTTCAAAGAAGTTCATTTCACTGTGGCGACCTTTGAATAAAGGAAAATGAATGAATGATAATCATTTAACTGGTTCTTAACTGGCTGAACAAGTCAACAGCGAGTAAACAAGTTTCTTGTTATGCAGTCTTGCGAGATCCCCTCATTAAAGTCATCAGTTTACTGTATTATCAACTAATCAGTTCTCAAATCAGATGTGTTCAAAAGAAACCAGTTTTCCTAAAACCTCTGCATCTGGTTCTTACGCAAGAGTGAGATCAGATATAGCAGTGGATTTCGAACAGTTCATGTCAATTTGGTGAACTGGTTCGACCGACCGTTTCACTAAGAAAACCCGGTTAAATAATTCATGAAACTGGCAGGCTGGTTTTAGCTGATCGAGTATTTGGTTGCAATAATTTTTTTGTTTTCCTGTGCTGTTAAAACATGCTTAAATATGGTAAATGGCTAGCTAAGCGCTAACATCTAAGAAATGTGCTAGCAACATGTCAACCCATGCTAGCAAAATATTAAATCATGCTGGAAACAGGAATAACAATTTGTTATGGCAATGTGTAAAACATACTAGAAATATTGCACATGGTGGCACGGTGGTTAGCATTGTTGCCTCACAGTAGACGGTCGCTGGTTTGAGTTCCAGCTGTATCAGTTGGCATTTCTGTGTGGAGTTTGAATGTTCACCCCGTGTTGGCGTGGGTTTCCTCTGGGTGCTCCGGTGCTCATAGAAACGGCAACCGACCTAACCGAGGCTCAAACCAGCGACCTTCTTGCTGTGAGGCGACAACACTACCTACTGCACCACTGCGTCGCCTGTAGGTGAATTGAATAAACTAAATTGGCCAGACTGTATAAGTGTGTGTGTTAATGTGAGAGTGTATGGATGTTTCCCAGTACAGGGTTGCAGCTGGAAGGTCATCCACTGCACCACATGTGTCAATTCCAGTTTCTGGAGGGCAGCAGCTCCGCACAGTTTAGTTCCAATTCTGCTTCAACAAACTTAAGCTGCGGTCACAATGGGCTTTTCCTCTCATAGACTTCCATTCAAACGCACGTGAATACGTCAGACCGGAAACGCAGGGTCATGCGTTAAGTTTCGCAGGTTGCTGCGGTGCAAAGTTCAAGCTTGGTGAACTCTGACCTGCGAAATCGCATCACTTGACTGTGTGAGACCAACTGAGGATCAAAACATGACCTCTCTGGAAAGAAATTTAAAACATGCAGCAATCGCTCGCTGTTTTAATGCCTAATAATCTTGTTTATTCCTGCCCCTTTTCGCTGCGCCGCACGACAGAATTTCGCATTATCCAACTCTAGTGTGACCGCAGCTTTACCTGTAGGTTTTGAACAAGCCTGAAGGACCCAATTAGTTTGATCAGGTGTGTCTAATTAGAGTTGGAACTAAACTGTGCAGAGCTGCGGCCCTCCAGGAACTGGAATTGACATCTGTGTGCGGCACATATGCCAGAAAAGTTGGCGGTTCATTCCGCTGTAGTGACCTCTGATAAATCAGAGACTGAGCCAAAGAAAATGAATGAATGAAACATTACACATCTTTCTTTCTTTAAAAACTTAGAACAAATAGATGTTTTAAATATTTGAGAGGGGTCTGGCTGCAGACTCAGTGCAGTGCAATCTGAGCTGCATCCAATGCTTTTTAATCCGCTCACCTAACCCCACCCCTAACCCTACCCGTCACAGTGACGTCACTCACTCCATTGAGTGCATTGTGTCTGACATTGCATCGCTGAGTGATGCAAACTCAGCTTGCATCATAAAGGCTGCATCCAGATACTATTGAAATACTTCGGCACAGTTTTCTCAAGTCAACACTGACATTTTTCTTAGTTCTTTGGTGTTGCCTCTCAATTAAATACATACAAAATTGAAAACAAAGTAGCTTTTATTAGGCTGTGATTAGATGCATTTAATCACAATTAATATTAGTAAATAAGTAAATGAAGAAGATTATATTTAGGATTCTGAAATAACCAGTGAAAACATTTAGGCCACAGATAAATCATCATTAATGACTGCCTGAAGTGCTTGTGTCAGCAAACGTTTTATTTGTTAGTCTTACAGAGATGACCTGCTCTCACAATGACTCCTAAGGTTTGATCACAGCATTTGCTCAGCTGCTAAAACAAACCATCTGCACTTTCAGATGTGTCTGGAATTTAAACAGGGAAGCGGTCCTGGTGGGCTTGTTTTCCAGCAAAAGTCACATTACTTCATGCTGTGAGGCTGACAGAAGGTTTCAAGCGCACCGTGAACAGGCGTTACTTAAATTCATTGCTTTTTATGAGATACAAATTTGCCTTTTTATTTGACTAAACAGTCAACACACTTGTTATTCTATAAGTTTTATCTTTACAGCATTGAGAAGACAGGCCTCTTCTTATATATGCAGGGAAGGTGATTTGTTTCTGGTCATTTAGCAGACACTTTTTCCTTCGAACAGTCTTTTATTCTTTAACTACATACAGGCCTGCAGCATAATAGCTGCTATTCTATGAGGCATGACCAGTGAAGTGAGACCTGTATGACTATAAAGCAGTTTAGTTTTTAGACTGGTGATCTTGCGGTTTATGAATAAAATAACACATAAAGTCTATAAAGATTGTTTGATTTGTTAAAAGCTTAGTCCCTTTATTAATCAGGTGTCGCCACAGGGGAATGAACCGCCAACTTAGGCCCTGTTTACACTAATGCGTTTTCGTTTTAAAACGCATAAGTTTTGCTACAGTTACGCCATCCGTCCACACTACACCGGAGTTCTCGAGCGCCTAAAACGGAGCGTTTCGCAAACGCTGGAGGGGCTGTTTTCATTCTGGAACGCTGCTGCTCTGTCTCAGTGTGGATGAGGGAAAACGGAGACATCTGAAAGCAGAGGCGGGGCTCCTGAGATTCGCTACCTGATTGGGGCTTTTGTGTCATTGCGTCTCCTTCCCTTATTCGTCAAGCCCCTATCACATGACTATAACACATGGCTTTAACGCTACCGCAAGACAGTACTGTAAACAACAACATGGGCACAGAAATGGGAGCGTTGTTTGCACTATTGTCTGTTTAAGGCGCCATTGTGCAGTTATTCATTTGTTACGTTTAGTAACAACTCGACCTCGTCGTCTGTCCACAAAAATACCTCTCTTGCTTTCGTTGCCATCGCGTTTATTGTTCAACTGGCGTTTGTTGACTAACAATAACCAAATGCCGAGCGAGACGCATGCTTTCTGTTTATACCAGAACGCGCATGCCCAGAGTGTGCGAATGGTTGTAAATGGCAGTAAACAAAGCAGTGTGATGTCAAATCTAGCATTTCATTGATTTCATAAACTACACAGCATCCTGATATTGGCAGATTTAATTCAGGCAAACTTTAGCACCCAACCATACGGCAGCTAGCTCTCTGCAACTCTCACATGGTCGCCCACTGAAGCTAAGCAGGGCTGCGCCCGGTCAGTACCTGGATGGGAGACCACTTGGGAAAGCTAGGTTGCTGCCGGAAGTGGTGTTAGTGAGGCCAGCAGGGGGCGCCCAACCTGCGGTCTGTGTGGGTCCTAATGCCCCAGTATAGTGACGGGGACTCTATACTGCTCAGTGAGCGCCGTCTTTCGGATGAGACGTTAAACCGAGGTCCCGACTCTTTGTGGTTGTTAAAAATCCCAGGATG